TATGGTTATGGAAGATCCATTTGCGATATTCTATCCGAACCCTATATTATTAGATTTTATTATGAGTTGGAAACTAATGTATTTGTCCTAATACCCTTAGCAAGGTCCTAATGTGGAAATGGTTTTGAAATTTCAGTGGCCGAGAGACAGCTGTGGAGGAGGGTGCGGGCCATGGCAGATAAGGCCACCCAAACTGACGAGAGTCCAAGCACAACCCCTCCTCCTGCGGCGACCACTGGGACGGGGAACCAATCTGGGGACCGTGTGGTCACGGAACATTTAGAGGCACAAAATCTGTTTGTCGAAAAGATATCAATTACAAAATTTCAATAGGACAATCAGGAGAAAAAAAAGGGATCCCGACATGAACTGAATAGATATTTTGGAAGAAGAGAATCTGTGTGATTTAATTAACATTAGAAAATACCCATGCGATATATATATGATACAACTCACGAGTGTCAAATTACAAAAAAAAAATAAATAAATAAATAAATAAAATTTCGGATTGAGTGCCTTTTAAAATATGGAGTTGTGTAAATTTATCAAATATCAAATTAATGCCTTACCTTCCTGGTCGCTGAGCAAGAAGGTATACTCCAAACAGTTAGACAAATTAATAAACATGACCTCATTGTGTTACAAATGTCACTTAATATATCCAATCATGAACATCCATAGTCTCCCTTGTGGTCATCATGTTTGCTCCAAGTGTAAATATATCCTAACATCAGATGAACTATTAGGTTGTGCAGAGTGTATACGAAAATGGAAAGATGATCCCTCATGTTGTGCCAGCTGTTTAGCAGAAATCACTTATTTAGGGGAGGAACATAAATGTCCAGGTTAAGTTAATAAAACAGCATGATAAGATGCATTTTTGCCCATTTGAACTTGAACTACTGAAACGATTTCATTGCATGATAATGTATTTTATGAGAAAAGCATGAATTAAAGGGGAATTCATTTAAATTGCTAAATATATGCATGTGTATATATATCATATTTCACACTAATGCTTTTAACCTTTGAGCCTGCAGTTTCTAGAGGACCTGAGAATTAATAGTTGTCTGAGATTGGCCTCTACTAGAGACCTCTTTCTAGCAATGAAACGGTCCGGAGCGCCGAAGAGGTTCACGAACTTCATACGCTGTCATCTCAAGAATCCCCTTTTGATCAATTGAACCAGATGTAAATAATTAATTGATCTAATACATATAATCACATATAACCAACTATATATATCCAAAGCATGTTTTACTAATTTAGTGCATGAGTAATAAATGCACTAAATGCACTTAGTGTGTGCGCATGATAACTACTATGAAATATAACGTGTGTATCATCATAACATATAATCCAGGTGTACATAATTAATTGATCGAATAATTTATTAACCGATATTACCTCAGTGCCTTTGACTGAAGTGAGTTGTAAATAATGCTAACACTAATTTATTAATCACATATTTATCATATGGTATAGCAACATCTTATTGGAAGATGTTTTAACTGTATGAGAAACGATTAATTGCCTTGTGAAAGTGCCTTATTGGAGGGTACAGTTTGGCAGATTTTAAGAAGAAGTCATATAGATGGCGAAGTCAAATTGAATATAAGATGTTAGGTATAGAGATAAGTTAGATAAGTTTAGTCAAGTATCATCATTGCATGTATTCATACATATTACTCACATAGTAATCACATTTACTCACCTTATTTAACCATTATAACATGATAATATATTAATCACTAATAAAATAACAAAAGAAGAAGATGACTTCAGAGACGAGTAGCTCCTACAAAGATGAACTAAAGAATCACCAGGTGCCATCTATCAATGGATCACACAACATATGAACGCTGAATGCGGATTATGATCAGTGATATCGATAATGAATATGGACGCTGAAGGTGAACCTAGCAAATGCTATGAAGAGAAGAGAATGGATAGAGACATTTACTTAGGCATATCCATACTGCTACAACAATTCATAAACACTAATAGTGATATGAAGACGGATACTAAGAATAAAGTTTAACAGTTAATTAAACTATGAACTCTGGAGCATGAAAGTAATCCTGGTCTTTCACCACATTCATTGGAACCAGGAACCACGTCAACCCACAGGGTTGTTGCGCGGCCGGAATGTGGTATATCATCTCTAAAATATAAAATAAAAATAAAATAAATAAATAAATAAGTGATTTATATTGTAAAGTAAATTAACCAGGTATGGTTAATTTCTAAAGAAGGGGAGATTGTTATGATTCGGTCAGTTCGTAATTATATTTAATTATATATAATTACTTTATTATTTATTTATTATTTATATCCAATATAAAATACCATTTATATTTAGTATATTCAAACATTGTAAAGATCTTGCTGCTTTCTTATGATTAATGACTATTTAGACCTCAGTTTGCTTTAGTGCAGGGGAATCCCTACGCTACTATATTCAGCCAAAACGAAGATATATCAATGAATTCTGACAAGTTAAAACTTCCAACAACCAATCACAACTCAGAATTATGATTTGAATCTTGCTTACATAAGCATGAAATCAGCAATATTCTTACTTATATTTGCACAATTTTGACAGGTAAAATAATGTATTTTACCTAGTATATAAAGAAGCCAGCAAGATCTGCTTATTCAGTAAGTTTTACTCACTCACAACGATGCTCAACAATTGATGAAAGGAGAAACAATAACAAGCGAATCTACCGAAACTCTGTTGGCCGGATCAATCTCAAGAAGAATTGGAATTTGAAATAAAATTAAGAAACAAAACAAAGGAGTCGTGTTCAATTAGGTAGTCAGGAACCCTGCGAGTACCGAAGGACCACAAGATCCCGAAGCGACAGTTACGATACGTAACACATGGGGATGAGATCTAATCTTATGGTAATTCTGATGATGGTCTGTGGCGTGATAGCAGGATGTCAAGCTGTAATATTGAGACAAAATTACGGAACTTATTTTGTGCCGATAAAAGAACCGATAACGCAACATAGAAATTACTTCCATATAACGTATAAAATGAAGGCAAGCGTATCGGTACCTGATGAAATTGTCAGACACGCTAATTTTGAATGTCAACCAAATGGCTATATTCATAAACAAACGTGTGAACAATTAAAAATGTTAATGAAAATCTTATTAACCAAAATAACGCAACATCAAAATAATATAATGTCAATAGTTCCTCGTGCAAGTAAAAGGCAAATCAAAACAAAGAGAGATTCAATATTATCTCCAATAGGCGGTTTTATCGGTGGGATATTTGGATTGGCTACTGAAAGAAGTGTCAATATATTAAAATCGCATATAATCCACTTAGAATCCTTTGGAAATATAACCGCGGGAAAATTAAATACTTTTCAAAATCAATTGCATGGCTTTATGGTTCTTTCGAATAACAGAACAGAGAATATCATGACGTCTGAAAAATTAAATCATGCGTCATTAAATCAATTGCGTGAATACATTAATAACATTGATCGTCAGTTAGGAATTGAAGCTAAATCTATTAACGATCTTAGAAATGATGTTTTAAAAGTATCAGGAATGGTGACCGCTATGTTTAAATACACCTCTGAATTATTAATCAATTTACAATTTGCTGAAAGCAATTTATATCGAAAAGTAATCGCCCTCCAAAAGGCGAATAAAGGGTATCTATCACCACAATTAATTAACGCAGAAATGCTAAATAATTCAATTCAGGAGGTTAAATCAAAACTGAGACGCGAATATCCTGAATTTACTCTAGTTCACGAAAACCCAGGGTATTATTATGAAAACCAAATTCTGACATACGCTCGTTCAGAAAAATGTTTATATTTCACCCTGGAATTACCATTGACAACCGTAAGGGAATCTTACAAAATATTTCAAATTAAAACATTTCCTGTGCCAATCCCGCGTGGAATAAACTTGAGAAACGATGTATCCAATCATTCAGTAATATTAAGCAATCAAGAGAAATATTTTGGGATCAATGAGGCTGGGAATTATTTTACGGAACTAGATGATCGTGATTATTTCAGTTGTAAATTAAGTAAATTTCAAAACTGTGATATCATGTATAAAGTAAGGGCGCGTTCAAATCCCACATGCTATTCTGCACTGTTCTTTGACGATCAACGCGATATATTGAAATTCTGTAAATTCACGTATCTAATACAAAACAAAATATTTACAAATGTGATTGAATTAAAGGATAATGCTTTACTAATATCTACTAATTCGAAAGGAATCTGGCATTCAAAATGTAAGGGAAAACCGTCAAAACAAGTAACAAATTGTAATTTATGTAAAGTCAAACTACCATGTCAGTGCGACTTATCTATCGGAGACATGTATGTTCCTGAAAAGATTGGTTGCGAAAATAATTCCCTTCAATTAAATTATGAATACGCGGTTAATGTTCCGTATATCTTTCATTTTTTCGGTCTGAAACATTTAGAAGGAATATCCGGTAATTCATATGATTTAGATGAGCCGATTGCTAATAATCCGAAAATAAAAATTCACGAACAGAAATGGCAAAATATTAATGCCAAAGATAAAGTTTTTAAAGCAGATTTACAAAGATTAGCGTTTAAAGTTAGCCAAAACAAACCAATTCACTTTAACGCGAATATACAACCTATGTCTGATAATTTTGGAAGTTCTTGGTGGCCTGAGTCTACCACAAAGGTAATTAACATTGTGATGTGGGTAATTTGCCTCATATCAATCATTTTGAGTATCTACGTTATATTGAAAATGCGAGGAATCGTTTTAGCTATCGCTGCGATGAAAATTGTAAACACAGAAGCCAGACAGTTTAGCAATAAGCCAGTACTTCTAGAACAAGGAAGTATACAAACGGCGGAAACTAAAGAGGTCGGTCATGTTGAACTTTGGAACATTATCTTACTTGTATTCGTTACAGCGTATGTTGTTGTTAAGTCAGTCATGTTGATCCGCAAAGTGTTTCAAACATATGTATACAGGCAAACTCCAAGGAGGGGTGTACGTCTAATGATGGAACTAATATCGCCGCAGTCTAGGGTTCAGATTCCGGTAATCGAGTTAAAGGTTGCATATCATAGGGTACAATTGGTACAACGTGATTCAATACATGAGATCAGAGCTCAACACACTTACTTTAAAAGTTATTTAGAGGTCAATTGGGGGCAGATTAAGTTCATGTTAGATGACGCGGAAATGAAGTTAGGTCTTCCTAGTAAAATACCAATTCCATATATTGAAAGGGGAGTCATTGATCATTTGTTGCATGAACCATATGTAATCCGATTCTATTGTGAAATTGATAAGAATGTGTTCATTCTCATACCAAAAGAGAGAATGGTAGTGTAATAAGTTATTGTATGTTATTCCAGTGGCTCAAGCACAAATACCATCTTTCTGGAACTTTCGGGCAGAGAAAGTTGACAAGTCCACCCAAACAGAAAATACCAAAGGCGAGGTTAAGAGAGAGGTACCAGTGCCAGTGACTACCCCAGATATCCAACCCATGGTTGAAAGCACCGTCCTGGCGGGGGTTCACATAGAGAAAATTTCTCACATGAAATATGTATGAAGTAGATTCTGGACTCTGGGAACTTTACAACAAGAAAACCATTTTGGACAATCCTTGAAATATAAAAACTTCGACAAACGACAAGCAAAATAATTTAGACTATTCGCGGAATATTAGACATTATTCATGACATAATAAGGACTACCGAAAGAACATTATAAACCAATAGAACTCTCTACAATTATATAAACAGGAGGGAAACCAAAACGCACAGAATAACTTTATTGTATAAAAAAAAACAAAAAAAAAACTAATGATTTAATAAGGAAAGAATTAAATAAAAAAAATAAATATTGTTCAAATATGGAGTTAGTTGAATTAATTATGTTGGAGAAAGTTTCTTATTTGCCCTCTTGGTCTTTGACAAGGCGAGTTATATTAAAAAAATTGTTGGTATTGAAAAATATGACCAATATATGTTGCCTTTGTCGAAAAACTTCCCACATATATAATTTAAACAAAATACCTTGTAATCATTATGTCTGTGCAGATTGTAAAATACAATTAGCCCCTCATCCTGATGTCCAAATCCAGAACCTCAAAGCCTGTCCTCAGTGTGTGAATGAATGGAAGAATGATGAGTCAATTTGTTCAGTTTGTTTTAGTGAAGTATCTTATAAAGGGGAAACACATTTTTGCCCGGGTTAAGTTGAGCTCTGATCCAATGTAGTATGATAAATGATCTTTGTGTAAAGAAGGGATGTTCATGAATAGGTGTATACTGTATATGGGAGATGTGCGGTCCATAGCTTTAAGATATATATAACCACTAACGCTTTATAATTAGGGTCAGCAGCGCAAGAGGGCTTGAAAGTTAATATCCTTTCGGGGAGATACAGTCCGGTGCACAGAAGAGACCCACTCAATTGGCTTACATTTTAATGCACATCTCCCGGTAATTTAAGATAAGAAAACAGGTGTAAATAATTAATTGATCGATATGATAAGATGTAAATAATAATCTAATATGATATTATATAATCAATTAATATTATGTGTGTATACAATAATACACTAAAATGAAAATATATCGCATGAAATACACAACTACCTCAAGCACCATAACTGAGATGCTTTGTAAAGGGCATATATTGAAAGTTAAAGACCATCATTTATAGATGGCGTAATAAATTTGAAGATGAAAAGTGATAAGTTGAGAAGTAAAGGTTGCAAGATGAGTATGTACAAATGATAATGCATCATGTCACATAGTTGCATGGTATCATTAATAATATTATTATATTATAATCTAATAAAAATTACTAGTACAATCAGAAAATAAAATAAAAATACTAATACGTGTGAAATATATAATTATATTAATCTGCAAACGATCTGATCTGATCTGATGCCGATGATCCGTTGATGCCTAGGAGAAGATGGCGACGATGACGATAGATGTCACTGCAATATTCAACTAGCAGCTGATATATGAAATTCACGTTTACCTGAATTTCCGTTTGTGTTATATATGGACGCTCTCCAGTGCAGTATATACTCAACGACATCTATACAATAAGGGTGATACATGTGAATATAGAGACACCAGTTATATGTGCCTATTTCACGAACGCTAAGGAGAGAATTTATGAAACTTGTGAATATAGAGACACCAACTATTATAGTGCCTATTTCACGAACGCTAAGGAGAATGCAATTGTGAATCTAGAGACGTTAATAAAATGCCTAGATTTACGGATGCTGCAGAATATTAACAGCCAAGCGAGACTTTATTATGATGATGCAGAATGATATTTATATAAACGCTGAAACAGTGATATATAATTACCGTCATTATACAACCAGTGATATATGAACGCTGAAAGCAGAGTTGATAGCACCGCCAAGAAAGATGCTCTACAATACAGCCGAATGAAGAGGATATGAGACATTGTTATATGCCATATCAGACAATTATTTCATATAAACGATAATGATATATTTTAGTGGGGCACTAAAATTTAAGGAGGGGTGGTTGTTACCACTCACTTTTTGACATTAATTAGTCAATTAATTTATTTATTATATTATTTAATATCATTGATATTTATTTTGATATCACTGATATTTATACCAATATTGTAAAGAATCTGATAGTAATTGTTACTATTTTGTATTATGTTGGTTCAACCAGGTAGCAGTCGATGGAGTTAATATTTGATTGACACCTGAGATTGTACTAAGTAACTTGATACTAGTTTAAACTGGTTGAGCTAATAATAGTACAAGATTCTATTTTCAAGCTTATTCTGTCAGGTGGAACTAATATATCAGTAACCACTTTTAGCAGGTTTTTAGCAGGTTTCTGATGCAATACGCGTGGGCGATTGTGCAATTATTGCACAACATTCACTCATTATTGCATAATCCTGACAGAATGATTTATGTAATTTTACTTGTATATAAGCAACCACGGATTCACAATAAAACATTCTGAATTGGGATCGCCTTCTGAAACATTCAACATTTGGATCACAACTACTATACTCTAAATTCATACTTTGGATCGCACAATCTGATGTTCTAATACGGGATCACCTTAGCGAATACTCTTGAGCCGAGAATACAAGTCGAAGATTGTGAATCCAGGTTGCAGATGAAGACATAAATAAAGAACAAACAATTTACAACAGCATTTGTTAATCGTTATCGAGATGAGATACCTGTGAGTACCGGAAACCTACAAGATCTCGGAATAATTAAACTACAATCACGTAACCGTCACGGGTGATTGGGTTCACTATGATAAACCATGAAAAACTACCGGTCACTATGACATCAGCTAGATGGCAAAACGCTATCAAATCCGAGGGAATAATAAAAACAGATGTTAAACGTTCTGCGGATGCTGTAAGGTCAAAAGGACCTCTACATTTTTCAGAGGCGGATCAATTGAGTTTTGATTGGGACTTTTTCGGAACAAATATATCCGATGTGATGATTTATGTTTCTTTTGCTCTGGCTGTGATCGCGATCATATCTAATATTTATGTGCTCCAGAAAATATGAAATATTCAAATGTCACCCAAACTTGGTCAATCATTATATTGACCATAATGACATTTTATGTACTAGTGATGACGATTAAGTTTACGTTGAGAGCATGGCGTGCCGTGTGCGGAAAGCGAAGTGTACACAGGAAATCTAGATTGATATTAGAATTATCTTCATTGAGTCAACGAATGACGATACCAATAACAAAGTTACAGTATGGGTATAACAGGTGTCAATTGACTCAGCGAGGAGTTATAAATAGTATTCAAGTTCAAACGGGACTGTTTCAAAATAATTTATCTATTGAATGGGGAGAAATCAAATTTATATTGGACAATGAGGAAATGAATTTGAATTTGCCACCACAGGTTCCTTTACCATATGGTTATGGGAAATCTATTGGCGATATCCTATCTGAATCTTATATTATTAGGTTTTATTATGAAATGGAAACTAACGTATTTGTCCTAATACCTTTAGCAAGGTCCTAATGCGGAAATGGTTTTGAAATTTCAGTGGCAGAAAGACAGTTGTGACGTGTGCGGCCTACCACAGACAAGGCCACCCAGACAGATCCACCTGTAGCCCCTTCTGCTTCGACGACTGGGAAGGGGGAAGGTCCACCACCTAATGTCGCTCAGGGGCAAACACCTGTACAAGAACATTTGGAGATGAAAAACGTATTCATTGAGCAAGTCTCTAAGACAGTCTTTAAGTGAACTTAAAAGAAAGAAAATTTTTTTGAACGCTGCATAAATTTGTCGACGGTGGATCTCATTTTTGGAGGAGGGTGGAGAAATAAATACAATTACTGATTGAGTGCCATTGAAAATATGGAGTTTTGTAAATTTGTTAAATCCCAGTTAAACACCTTACCTTCCTGGTCGCTGAGCAAGAAGGTATACTCCAAACAGTTAGACAAATTAATAAACATGACCTCATTGTGTTACAAATGTCGCTTAATATATCCAATCATGAACATCCATAGTCTCCCTTGTGGTCATCACGTTTGCTCTAAGTGTAAATATGTCCTAACATCAGATGAACTATTAGGTTGTGTAGAGTGTATACAAAAATGGAAAGATGATCCCTCCTGTTGTTCCAGCTGTTTAGCAGAAATCACTTATTTAGGGGAGGAACATAAATGTCCATGTTAAGTTAATAAAACAGCATGATAAGATGCCTTTTTGCCCATTTGAACTTGAACTACTGAAACGATTTCATTGCATGATAATGTATTTTATGAGAAAAGCATGAATTAAAGGGGAATTCATTTAAATTGCTAAATATATGCATGTGTATATATATCATATTTCACACTAATGAGATTGGCCTCTACTAGAGACCTCTTTCTAGCAATGAAACGGTCCGGAGCGCCGAAGAGGCTCACAAACTTCATACGCTATCATCTCAAGAATCCCCTTTTGATCAATTGAACCAGATGTAAATAATTAATTGATCTGACATATATAATCACATATAACCAAATATATATTCCAAGCATGTTTTACTTATTTAGTGCATGAGTAATAAATGCACTGAATGCACTTAGTGTGTGCACATGATAACTACTATGAAATATAACGTGTGTATCATCATAACATATAATCCAGGTGTACATAATTAATTGATCGAATAATTTATTAACCGATATTACCTCAGTGCCTTTGACTGAAGTGAGTTGTAAATAATGCTAACACTAATTTATTAATCACATATTTATCATATAGTATAGCAACATCTTATTGGAAGATGTTTTAACTGCATGAGAAACGATTAATTGCCATGTGAAAGTGCCTTATTGGAGGGTACAGTTTGGCAGATTTTAAGAAGAAGTCATATAGATGGCGAAGTCAAATTGAATATAAGATGTTAGGTATAGAGATAAGTTAGATAAGTTTAGTCGAGTATCATCATTGCATGTATTCATACATATTACTCACATAGTAATCATATTTACTCACCTTATTTAACCATTATAACATGATAATATATTAATCACTAATAAAATAACAAAAGAAGAAGATGACTTCAGAGACGAGTAGCTCCTACAAAGATGAACTAAAGAATCACCAGGTGCCATCTATCAATGGATCACACAACATATGAACGCTGAATGCGGATTATGATCAGTGATATCGATAATGAATATGGACGCTGAAGGTGAACCTAGCAAATGCTATGA